GCTAGCCTCCCACTAGTTCGAATTAAGGGGCTACACACCCCTTAATTCGAACTAGTAAGTTCAAACTAGGCTTAGTCCTCGTGGAATGAGGTTTACCTAGTTCGAACTAAGCGCTCCGCTAGTTCGAATTAAGTTCAAACTAGCGGAGCGCTAGTGTAGCGCTTATCAAAGTTAATTCGAACTAACATTTGTTAGTTCGAATTAACTTTGTAGTGTAGACATACCCTTACATACAATGCAACTCCTCCTTCTTTTCTCTTCCGCCTTTTCTTCCTGAACAGTTTATATCCTTCCATGACAGTGCTCCAGTCATGCAAGTCATCCCAACAAGTCTCTGTTATTCCAATCATAGTTCTTCGACTGGGCCAGGGATTCTAATTCTTCCTGTTTGTTTCCCTGGCTTCTCACATTGGTGTACTAACACCTTACATAACCAGTTTATCACCCTGTCTTCTCCATCCGAATCAGGGTCCTTCTTTGTTGCTCGTTCCTCCTTGTGATTCTTCCCAGTGTCTGACTTCCTCACTTACCTCAGGGCTTTGGTCACCGTCCCCCAAAGACCTAGTTTAAAGCCCTCCTCATTAAGTTTGGAAGCCTGCCCGCGAAGATGCTCTTTCCTCTCTTGGTTAGATGGATCCCATCTCTTCCTAACAATCCTTGTGTCCGGAACAGAGTCCCATGATCGAAGAAACCAAAGCCCTCTCTCCAACACCACCTGTGCAACCACGCATTTACTTCCACAATTCGACGATCCCTACCCAGACTTTTTCCTTTAACCTGAAGGATGGACGAGAACACCACTTGTGCTTCAAATTCCTTGATCCTTCTTCCCAGCGCTACATAATCAGCTGTGACCCGCTCAAGGTCATTCTTGGCCCTATTGTTAGTTCCTACATGGAGAAGCAGGAAGGGATAGCGATCCGAAGGTTTAATCACTTTCGGAAGACTTTTGGTCACATCCTGAATGCGTGCTCCCGGTAAGCAGGTCTGAACGGCAGATGAATGACTCAGTCCTTCTTAGGAGGGAGTCCCCGACCACCACCACCCGTCTTCCTTTGCGGTTGGTGGTCGTGGAACCCCTATCCCTAGGACTACGCATCCCATGCCTTCCAGTTGATGGTGTTCCCTTTTGATTTCTTCCCTGAGATGTCCCTGCCAAAGCATTCTCCACCGTAGTGACTGTGGAGAGAGCCTGAAAGTGGTTACTTACCTCTACCGGGATGGGGGATACCGGAGTTGTCCTTCTTCTCCTTCTAGAGGTTACATGCTGCCAGTTTTCTTCCTTGTCCTGTACTGCCCTGACTGGCTCTTCAGCCAGCTGTGCATGCAGGATTAAACACTGCCTTCTATCTTGGAAATCTTCATCCTCTCCGATAGAACATAGGGTCGATACTTGGGTCTCCAGTCCTCTAATTTTTTCTTCCATAATGGTGATCAGCTTGCACTTAGTGCAGATGAAATCCCTTCTTTCTTCTGATAGGAAGACAAACATGGCACATGCTGTGCAGGTAACAACAGCAGAGCTATCACCATCCATACCTAACTTCCATCTGATTCCAACTGATTCCTCAGTTGTTATTAAATGCCTCCTTGAAGGGCAGGAGTGTAGTGAACAGATGTTAAAGAATTGCCAGTGTCTCTCACCCCCTTCCCAACTCCCTCTCCAAACTCCCTGTTAACAACCCCTGTTCACAAGCTCCCTGGTCACTGACTCACTCCTTTATAAAGCCCTAGAGTGCCTGATAGCTCCTCCCCCTGATTACGGCTCAACCAATGAGTAGAGGCTTCTAGATTTCAAACCCTGATTAGAAGCTCACAGTTTCCACTCGCCAGCCACAGCACACACTCCATGATGGCGGGGGGGAAGGGGGAGAGGAGAGGGAGAGAGAAGGGGATTCCAAATCAGGCTCATTTTTGTTTTTAAACTTGCAGTGACACAAATACAGATGGATGGACTGAAGCCAGGCTTTCCCAAACAAGACTGAGCAGGTCCTTTCTTCAATGTACCCCATAGGGATTTTTCTTATGTTTCAAGAGCTAGTCACCAACTCAATTAAATATGTATTTATATCACTAGGCAGGTGAAAGAGGCTATTTGGGGATGCTCTCCCTGTCCAGGACTGCCCAAGCTTCCCCCCGCCCTACACACACACACAGGCACCTTTTAGGGAGGATAGAGGGAGGACACACTGTCTAGAATGACCCACAACTGTTAGGGCCTACCTCAGAACAGACACTCAAATCTGGTAGTGTGTTCTATAACCTGAAGTATTATACCAGTCTTCCTATGGAGTCTCAGACAGTCTCCTTAGACTTTCTAGTTTATCTTGCTACCTAGACAAACTTTAGCCTGGTCTACACTAAAGGGGAAAATTGACTTAAGATACAGAACTACATTAATTATGTAGCTGGAGTGAACATATCTTAAATCACATTTTTGTACCATCTGCACAATGGGAGGTCAACAAGAGCAAAAGCTTCCATCAGCTTCCCTTACTCCTTGTGAGGAGCAGGACTACGGGCACCAATGGAAGCACCCTCTCAGTTCATATTAGCGGATCTTCACTAGTCCATGAAATCAAACATTAGAAGATTGACCTTCAGAGGGTTGATCTTCTCCATAATATAGTCAAGCCTTTATTAATAAACAGTCACTTACACCAAAAATCACACAATGTTCAGACTGTTTCCACCTCAATGTTCAGATTTTATCCTTGATCTTACACTGAAGACAATGCCTGTAGGTAATCCTGTAAAAATTATTGAAATATGTATTAACTAGGAAAAAGAAATCAGAGTTATTTACAGGTTAAAGTAATCAAACATACACACATGAATAATTACCAAAATATTAACAGTGGTAGAGTTGAAATAATCTGTCCATTCAAATTTGTTTTTCAGGGTAGACCCAGACTTAATTTTTAGGGATCTCTGCCACAGTTTAGAGCTTCTAACCCTATCAGAGCACAAAATAGAAAAGAAAGATGAAAATTTTCCATTTATCTTTGTTTTATTTACTTCATTCAGCTTTCAAGTTCAGATGATAAGCTTTCTTCCATATAGCATTTCCAAGATTCAGGAGGGCCATTAACCAATTGTTTTTATGGTCATGTTTCTTTATTGACCCATATGATTTTGATAATGCTTGGAATGGGCAGGGGAAATGATTCCAGTGCCTAGGTTCACATGTTTGGAGCAAATATTTTCAAAGTTATAAAGCAAAACTTACCTATTTTCTTATAGCAAGTGAGATTTATGCATGCAACAATTCACACGCACTTCCTAGGGTATGTCTACACTACAGCGCTATTTCAAATTAACTTTTTTTAATTAGTTAATTCAAAATAAGCTAAATCGAAATAACGCATCTGGACACAAAATCTAATTCGAAATAGTGTTTTTCTATTTTGAAATAGCGCGTCCACACTGATTGGACGCTGGGTCGCATTTAAGGGCATCTGAAACTGGTTCCAGCAGGGCATCAGGTCAGTAGTTGCTTTGTGTGGCTGCTGTTTGAGGCTATCTGAGGCTCATGCTTAAAAGGACCCCCCTGGACAGCCAGTTCTCAGCTTTCCCACTTGCTTGCCTACCCTGCTGAGGGACAGCAAAGTGTTTTCCTCTCCACCTGCTTTGGTTGCTCTCATTTGGGACATCGCAACACTCGGCACCATGGAGCTAGAGCTGCCCCTGGGCACTCTGGTGCTCCTGTTGAACGTCTTGCTGCATGCCTCACAGCAATTACTGGAGGCTGCCTGGCACCTTCTGCTGCAGGCCAGCCCCCTGGCCCTCCCCTTTCCCCCGCGGGGGCCCTGGAGGAGCGGTGCCTGGACACCAGCGTGCCCCACTGCATCTGGCGTCTGGACACCAACAGCGACTGGTGGGACCACATCGTCCTGGAGCACTGGGGAGACCAACAGTGGACCCAGAACTTCAGGATGAAGAAGGACACCTTTCTTGAGCTGTGTTAGTGGCTCGCCCCTGCTCTGCGGCGACGGGACACACGCATGAAGCACGCCATTCCCGTCCACAAGCGGGTGGCCATCGCCTTCTGGAAGCGCTCCAAGCCAGATAGCTACCGATCCATCGGCAACCAGTTCGGCATGGGGAGATCCACCGTCAGAGTGGTGCTCATGAAGGTACGGCACTCACCGGCCACTGGGCCAGGAGGGGGGGCTGCAAGGAGGACATGGGCTGCCCCAGGGAAAATGTGGGGGAGGTGGTGTAAGTGCCCTCCCCAGGAGGTTTCAGTCTGTCCCAGCCACGCTACAGACCTCCAACGGTGGCCAGAATTGCAGCAGGTGTTGCTCCTGGGAGTGGGACACGGGGCAGTGGTGGGGCACGAACACTCCCAGCCACCTGGGCACCCTAGTGACCCTCAGTTTTGTGTCTCTCTCTGCAGGTGGCCAGGTGCTCTGCAGAGTCGTCTGCCTCACCGACCTGGACGCAGTCATCTAAGGGTTCGGTGCCCTGGGCTTCCCCAACTGCGGGGGGCAATCGACGGGACGCACATCCCAATCCATGCCCCGGACCACCAGGCCTCTCTCTACATTAACAGGAAGGGGTACTTCTCTGTGATCCTGCAGGCCGTGTCTGACCACCGGGGCTAGTTCACAGACATCAATATGGGCTGGTCCGGCAAGGCACACGATGCGCGGGTGTACCGCAACTCCTCTGTGTGCCAGAGGTTGCATGCCAGGACTTTCTTCCCCAACTGCCACATCAGGATCAGGGACGTGGGCATGCCAGTGTGCCTGCTGGGGGATGCGGCCTACCCCCTACAGGCCTGGCTGATGAAGCCCTACACAGGACACCTCAGCCCCTCCCGGCAGGCCTTCAATGCCAGGCTCAGCAGGGCCCACATTGTGGTTGAGGGGGCCTTCGGCTGACTGAAAGCACAATTTAGATGCCTCCTCACCCGCCTCGACCTCTCCCAGCACAATGTTCCGCACGTGATGGCAGCATGCTGTGTGCTCCACGATTTATGTGAGAGGAAGGGGGAGGCTTTCCTGCCAGCCTGGATGGCAGAGGCTGACAGCCTGGCTGGCCAGTATGCACAGCCCCGCATGGCTGCCAGCCGGGAGGCCCTTCGGGGGACAGTCTGCATCCGAGAAGCCCTGCGGGAAAGGTTCCAGGCGGTATCCTCTTGCACTAAAGATACCTCTGAGGTGGCCATTATGCACAGCCCCGCACGGTTGCCAGCTGGGAGGCCCTTTGTGGGGCTGTCCGCATCCTGGAAGCCCTGCGGGAGAGCTTCCAGGCAGATGAGGACTGAAGTCTCCCTGGCGTGCCCCACTAGGGCCTTGTGCCTTACATTCCACCTCCACCTCCTTCCCCTTTCCCCTCCCTAACTCCCCTTCCTGATATACAATACAAAAAACCTGTGTTGCCACAAAAAAATCTCTTTATTTAACATAACTAGGGTGGGGGGAGGGGAAGAATGAGGGTGGCAGAAGGGAGGGGGGAAACCTGGGAGGAGGGAGCTGGAAAGGGGAGGCAAGGGGAGGAAGGGGGAGAGGAAGCTCGGGGGTGGGGGTCTTGCTGGCCCTCCCATCTCACAGCACTGGGGTGCAGGGGCCTCAGCGTTCCCGGGGGGGAGTGGGTATGGAGGGTGGGGCAGAAGGGACGGGGGGGCGGAAGAAGCAGGCAGGAGAGCAGGGGTGGGAAGAGGAGCGATAGCTGGGGCGGTCATAGGGGCTGGAGCAGCAGGAGGCAGCAATCGGTCCACCAGGGCCTGCAGGTACTCGCAGAGGGCACGGCCCTGCTCCTGCAGCTCCCGCAAGCTCTCCCACCACAGCTGCAGGTCCTCTTGCACCCACTGCTCCTGGCTGTGGACCTGCTGTCACTGTCACTGCAGCTGCTGCCTCTGGAACTTCTCCTGGTTGCGGGTGAGCCTGGTGGCCTGGGTGCAGGTGGATGGTCCAGGCAGGGTGGTGCGTCCTGCACTCACAAGTGCTGCAGCTGTGGTGGAACAAGAGAAGTGGTCATTTCTCCCTGGGGACACAGTGGGTGAAACCCAGCTCCCCTCTGCAAGGCGAGGACGTCAGGTCTCCGCACCATCACATCCTGCTATCCCCAGGAGTGTGAGCTGGCCCAGGACTGCACCCCAGTGGGGGAGGGGGAAAGATGTGCCCTGCCTCTGTGTAGAGGCCGCCTCCAGAGGGAGGGCAGTGTGCACTGTCTCTCCCCGGGGTCAAGAGCATGTCATGTGTCTTCACGTGTAGACACATGTGGGGAACAGGCCAGAGCCCCTGCTGTGCCACATGTCCCGGATGGCACAGCAGATGCACAGGTTGCCGCCTGCTCCATGGTCGGCAAGGCCCACGCACACGGTCCCTGGGCTCCCCCTCCCCCAACAGCGTGCAGTGACTCTCCCCAGGGTAAGGTCCCTGGGCTCCCCACCCTCCACCCCACATAAGGGGACCGTGATGTCACTCACATGTGGAGGTCTCCCTGGCCTCGGATGAGGCTGCTGACGGGCTCTCCAGTTCGGCTCAGGGTTCCTGGGTGCAGGGCAGGCTCCCTGCAGGCTCCTGGTTGCCATCGTCCTCCTCCTCCTTTTCCCCTGTGTCAGGGGCAGGGCCCTCTGCCCTGGGGTCAATGACGACCAGGGGAGCACAGACCGTCTGACCCCCCCAGGATGCAATCCAGGACCTCAAAGTGAGGGCAGGCCTCTGGGTCAGCCCCTGGTTTGAAGGCCCTGGCATAGGCCTGCCGCAGCTCTTTAATTTTGCTGCGCACCTGCTCTTGGGTCTGCATGTGGCCTCTGGTGGCCAGGCTGGCAGCCATGAGGCTGTAGACGGCCGCATTCCTGTGCCTAGTGCGGAGATCGTGGGCATTGGAGGCCTCCTCCCAAACCTCAATGAGGCCCACGATCTCCACACTAGACCACGAAGGCACCCGCCTTTTGCGTCCCCTGACAGGCTCCTGGAAGCTGCCAGCCTGGTCCTGAGGAGTGGTGGAGGGCTGTGTGGGAGGGGGTTGCTGGCTCATGCTGTGCCAGGTGCACGGTCTGCTGGCTGTGTGCTGGCAGGCTTGCAATTGGCACAGGCACTGTGGCCAGAGTCTGCCCCTTTAAGGGCTCCAGGCCTGGGGTGGAGCAGAAGAGTTTGCCTGGTTGTGCCCAGAGTGGCCACCAGGGCTCCCTGGGAAGGGCTGGAGGCCCCCTAATTCGAAATAACTGTCTACACCGCATTTATTTCGAACTAGCTATTTTGAATTTGGTGTTATTCCTCATAGAATGAGGTTTGATAAATTCAAAATAAGGGCTCCACTATTTCAAATTTATTTTGAAATAGTGGCTTGCCTGTGTAGATCCTATTAAAGTTAATTTGAAATAACTGCTGTTATTTCAAATTAACTTTGTAATGTAGACATACCCCTAGAGTCTAAGCGCTAAATACATTCTTAAAAGACTTAAAACCTACTTCAAGCAAAATTAACATATAGGTGAACTTGTCTGTTCTTCGGCTATGAGCTTGTTAGTTCTTAGCTAACACCTGTAGCCTATGCAAGAGCTGGCATCTGGCCTGTCAGTGTCATTTAAGTGTTTGAAAATCCTTCTCTCAAAACTTAGTTTAAATTGGTTTGAAGATAAGTGAAGATGTCTGCGGTGAAGAATAATAATAAACAATAACTTTGAGGGGAGTTCAGTTCAGTATGCAGATTGCTATTACTTCTAATCCTGTTTAATAGCTTTAATAATGAGCTGGAAGAGGGAGTGAATGGTATGTTAATGAAATCTGCAGATATA